TATATATATATATATATATATATACTAAGTAGTATATATATATATATATATATATATATATGTATGTATAAATAGATATTTGAACATAAACACACACCTACATATATATATATATGTATACATACAAACACACACACACACATATATATCCATATACATAGACACAAATATATATACAACGTATACACTCATATATATGGTATTGACGTACATATATATATATATATATATGTATGTAGATATGTATAAATATGCATATATATATAGTATATATAAACACACAAATAGTGTCAAATAGTACTCTCTAGTTTATTACTCATGTCGTCTGCTGTCAACAGTGGTCTAACGAATTTCAATGGATTATCAGTATTTATATTAATTTTATTTTGATAATTATTCTCGATTGCTAAATACTATTGTATCGGTATAAATTGGACTCTCACTTGTTTAGCATTCAAGGTCGGTCGTCCTGAAACTTACTTATGATTTTCAATATCTAATCTTTACTGCCACTTAATCTTGAAAATAGGGATCATATCGCGCTGATATACCTCATTCATGAGCTCAGCCCAGCCAAGGTACATAGCTGAGCCGCCGCAGACGATACCCACTGCGCCCGCAATTTTGTGCACTGTATCGCTATACACGCCACCCGCCAACAGGAAGAACAACAGAGCCAGTGACAGGAACACAAACTGTACAGTTCGATTGGCTCGGAATGTGCCCATGAACATCATAAAGGTGAAGGTACCCCAGATGCATAGCCATACACACTTGCCTTCACTGATGTCTCCCGGCACGAGATTATTTGTTACTATGAGCAAGTCAAATAGACCAAGACCCATCCAGAATGCGCCGTATGAAGTGAATGCGGTTCCGGTAAAGACCTTGCCGGCGGAAATCTGAAGTACCAAAGAGAAGAATTGTAAGGATTCGAAAATAAATAAATTGCAATCCAGGATAAATATAAATAGTTCTTAGATCACCAAACGCGGCTCGTGTTTTAACGCAAAAGTAAAGTATAAGAGCCTATACGAGCACAGCCACATCTATGGTAACTAGAGATGAGACTTAAATTTAAGAAGCCCCTGCCCTACCACAAACGACAACGTGCAATAGGGTACAACGGACTCTAACAAACACCTTGCGCGTATAAAAAACCGACATACCTCCCACATGCCAGCCAGAAGCTGAACGAATCCACCGTGCATGATACCGTAGCACGCGATGAGTCCGACGGTACCTGATTCCGCGATACCAGCATTGTAGAAGTTCAGCAATACGGTAGTCATACCGAACGCCATGAGTCCAATAGGTCCAGCGTTAGCCGGTCCCTTTGGGACCATCACCCTTGGTTGCATTGGCGGTGCGGCTGTGCGTGAGTCCATGTTCAGACTTGTGCGTGAACGTACGTCTTCATCTTTCGTTGCCATGATGATCTGATTGTGTTTGCTGTACTTAACCTGTAAGCTGTTTGAGGAGTGAAGTAAAATGTCAAGTTGTAGATTGTATTTGCACGAAATATTGCTGGACAATCATGCCCATTTTATAGAAGATTAAGGAACACATTCAGCATAATTTCTATACCCCCCAATTCCAATACTAACTTTAGTAATTCCCATCTATCACGGTATGTAAGCCGTCCACCTGCCTATATTTAGAATAAAACAATCCTTAATGGCGGTATCTGTATTGTATATTCATATTTCCTGTCGTTTTCATTAGGAGGCGTTCTAGCTCTTAGCCTGTCTATGGGGCTGAAACGAGAAACTGCTGATAAAAATATTCATTCCGTTTCTTTCCGACTGTCCGTTATTCTCGCCGCTTTTATATGTATGCTATTTATTTATATTGAAAATAAATATTACAATATCGGGCGAAGACAAGACCATATCAGGGGGCAACAGGCCGGGCAGGGGTCCAGTAGCATAAACGTACACTATTTGCGCAAGGCCGTAAGTACGTCTATTTCTCAGATTTGTTTTTGGGCTACGTACTAGATCCCACTATAATATTGGGTCTACAGACTCTACTAGAGTAGAAAATAGACGTATTTACTATAAAAAAACTAAAAAAACAGAAAAACAAAACAACAAAAACAACAAAAACATAGCCTTCTTGTCTCTTGATAGAGAATCTTAACTGGACTGGAGTCTGGAGTCTGGACACTCTGGCAGGAGTCAGTGACAGGATTTTGGTTTTTTCAATAAAACAAACAAATTGAGTCTGACCGCTGACGGACTGACGTTGTCCGATTGCCCATTCTCCGAGCAACTCCGAGAGAGTATCCAACTCCAACTTTTCCACACAATAAGTCTACAGAGTCCACCAGACCGGCAGTCCCCCCTACCACCAGAGAGAGTCTCCAGAGTTTCCAGAGAGTCCAGTGACTCCAGACTTCAGTTTCCACTTTCCCCGAAATCCGAATCCCCAGATTCCAGACTCCCCAGAGTCCCAGTCAGGCAGACACAGTCCTCAGATAGTCTCCACTTTTCACTTTTGAAGTTTTGACTTTCTCTCACTCCTGCTGGTGGTGGGCTGGACCTTGGACGGCTGGTGGCAGCCTACTCTGAGAGTTTGGGGGTGGGCAATTGGGCACTGGGCAGGTGGCACTGTGGCAGCAGTGGTTAATAATATTCTTTTTAATAAAAAAATATACAGCAACAAGGCAACAAGAGAGACGAGAGAGAGAGAGAGAGAGACTTCAGAAGTTGTTCAGAGACCAATACAGACTACAGTAGTACAGACTCTACAGAGTACACAAATTAGAGACAACGTTTCGCGATAAATTGTACTCTCTCGTTGATGGTATAGTCTCACGTGTATCCAGTTATCAACTGTCAACCTTATTTAGTTCTCTGTGTATTTGTTTTTAAAAAACAAATTATACAAAATAAAAAAACTGCCCCCATCCGTGACTGTGAGCCTGTCACCCCCTCTCAGGGCCAGCGGCTCACAGAGGCTTAGCCCCTCAGCCTCAGCCTCAGGCCAACCTCATAACGTTTGGCGTCATGTATATAGAAGTTGACTTTTAAACGTTTAGTGGGTTATTTATTAGCGTTACAACGTATTTTCGTATATTTTGACCTGTATATTGTGACCTGAAAAAGTGCACCTATTCATACCAGTTTGGTCACAATTTTGATATCAGAATGTGTCGTCTGGACAAAATTCTGGTGTGTATAACTGTATAAGCCTATTGCCTGACCTGGAATATGGCCTACAACTATAAACGGGACACTGACATGGAGGTATACGTTTGATTTTCAACGTTTGACGGATCATTTATTTGCGTTGCAACTTATAAAGATATGAGGTTGGGTCTCAGGGTCTCTCTCTCTCACAAGTCACAACAACTCACAACAAGTATCTCGAGAGACTTTCAACTCTACTACTACTCCTATCACTACTCTCTAAGAGAGAGAGAGAGTATCGAGAGAGTATTTAGTAGCGAAAGAGTAGTCTCTCTCTTGGAGTCTGTGGTCTCTTCACGCTCTTCTCTCTACTAACTTCTGCAGAGTAAACAGTCTATTTACAGTTTTACACACATAAGTACAACAAGAAGAGAAGACTCGAAGAGAGAATAGAGAGAGAAGAGGTATGTAGTGAAGGTAATGTACTCTAACCTGCTACTACTTTGTGGAATGTAGAGTACTCAAGTACTCAACAAAGTACAAACACAATTTGTGTCGAAAAAAGCCAACATTATATATTTTTTATTTACTTTTGTTTTTAAAAAAGAAATAATAATGACAAAAAAATATAAAATACGAGAATACAGAAGATACTTTTAGATATATTCATATAACCGTTTTTGATTGACAATGTATTCAGTACGCCTACAAGCCTATTGTCCAACTAAATATGTACAATAGTATTTCTTTGAAAAAATACTATTTACGGGGCGACACAACAGCTGACAACAGTGATAACTAACACGGCTCGCCAGTATTTTGGTTTAAAAAATATATATAAACCTATTGTTCTTATATATATTTATTGTGTACAGTTGCTATTGTTTTTTTTTAAATTGTTTAAATAAAACAAAAACAAGAGTGTACACTATAACCCTAAACCCCAAACCCCAAGAACAACTGCACCATATTTATATAAATACGCATGATGTAACTATAGTTTGTACATCAATGTACTATTAGCAGTAGTGAGTAATTGAGCAATGACTGGAGTCTGGAGAGTGGCTACTGGCTACAGTAGAGAGATTAGAGAATAGTCAATAGAGAGATTCGAGACGGCTCTCTCTCTACTCTAGTAGTAGACTCTATTCTCTGAGTAGATTGAGATAATTAGTCTGAATACTGTATATGTACAAAGCGAAAATGACAATGTAGTATGTATAACCTATAAAGCCGCTACTCCGAGTCTACTCTCTACTAAACAATAGTAGAGAAGAGAGAGGCGGTCAGCTGTCGGCGTTAGGCCGCCAACAAACACACAAGAAGTTAGAAGGGAGAGGCAAGACTCCAAAACACTAAACAGGACTCCGAGTCGCGGTAGGTGCGCAGCGCAAGTGGCGCAATGTTGTGTGACTGCGCCCGCAACTACGGCACTGGCAGTCTGGCACTCTGGCAGGCTAGCACTCTCTGGCAGTCTGTATGTCACCTTGGCACTCCTCACTTATTAGTCTACCTCTCACTGCTGAAAGCCTGAAAGTGCTGACTGCCCCAGTGCTGGTTCACTGCTGAGTGCTGACTCGCTGAGGCCCGAGTGACTGCCTCTGAAGTTCTGACACTGTTTGAGTGCGACCCTTTTCGAACAATATATAGTACATACATACAATGCCACACTAAAACTGTCTGAATGAACCACATTTCGAGCTCATGAAATTGTGATGTCAGGAACTCAGGAGTCACGACGTAGAAATCGATTGGTCTTTTTCAGAAAACTATACTCAAAAGTAGTAATGTACAAATCAAATATTCCCCGCTATTAATAGGACGGTAGTCACGACCCACCAGTCACGGCTCTTCATCACGAGCTCACGAGTCGACACATGCGACATTTGTCCATCCTGAATTCCTGATTCGTGAAACTCCAGTGCATTTTCAAGCTTTGTGGTATGTATCTGCCGGGCGCCGGCGGCCCTAACAGTTATGCTCTCTCTAAAAAAATCACACTGTCCCACGGGCCACAGCAAAGGCAATACAAAGTACTGTATGGAGTGTATAGTGACGTTACGTCAGTTACGATTTACGAGCTATCAGCCATCTGGCCTACTCCCCTGTGGGAACTTTTGTTTTAGGAGGTCGAAACTCGAAACTCGAAAGTCTTCCCAGAAAACCAGTTCCCACTCCACGAGTCCACGGCAGTGTTATCAATTCTCAGTCTCGACTTGGGAGTCTCGGGAGTCCAGGGGTATTTAAAAAAAAATAGATCTCACAAGAGTTTTCAACAGCTGATTGATTTTGAGCATAGCCTTTGTTTAATTTAGAAGGCTATGATTTATTGTTTTGAGACGGTGAGCCCTGGGCCTGCACATGTTCATCTATTTCCATCATACACGCACATACACGCACAGGCACAGCTGTACCACACCCCAGGAGTTTCCCGTAGGAATGCGTTTCTTGCCTATGTGACTGACAACAAAAAGCCGAAAGTGGTAGCTTGAAATATTTTATTTATTTGTAAAGTTAAAATATAGATTCTGCACAGCCTTTCTCAAATTCTCTTGAGCGTTTATATGAAACACGTGTAATTCATCCCTCTCTAGAAGAAAAAAAGTCATGTATGTACACTTGTACACATACTGCATTTATTTAGTGTATTTGTACTTATTTATTTATTTTATTTATATCTTTAGACAAGTGAATAGTGATACACTGTGACTGGCAGTATCAGGACAGTTTACAAATATGAAGCAGACTAAAATGATACACACTCTACTACTCTACAGAGTGAGTCTCGTCTCTACGAGATAAAAAGTGTATTTGAAAGCGAGAGAGGAGATTGCTCAGGAGTGCGACGTTGTTACCGTTTTCGAATAGTACGCCAGTTCCCAGGATATCCTATGTACTAGATAGAAACCTGAATTCATCGAATACTTTATGAACTCATAAAGTCATGAGATCATGACTCTCAGATGTACGAATAAAAAGTCATTGCCATCGTTGATCGTAGTGAATCGAACCATCATAGACTCAGTACATAGGACCCAGGTTTTCTATGCGGAACACAACTCCCTCTGGCTCTCCGGCCTCAGCTATGTTTCAAAAATTGTCTTTGACCCGCTTCGTCGCTGTATTCTTTTTTATTTTAAAAAACATTAAAAATAAAAAGCGTAGTCTTTGTGAAAGATTATTAATAAAAGTGACTGACCTAGCAAGTCAATTCAATTCTTTAATGTCCATATATCCTTATTGAATGTTTTCTTTTGCTTGTCGAGTGTAGAAAGGCATCTATTGCCAAGCGCGCTAAGGCCGAAAAGACTAAACGACAGGTTTTTACTTTCACCTCTGTCTACATGCTCCCTAGAATAATCACTAATCCAGCTAATGCTGGTTCGGAACAAAAAATTATACAGATTCTGACCGTATTGTTTCACAGATTATGAACTACGACGGACGAGAGCGATAAGATTATTGACACACCGCATGCTGCGGGTAGGGACTGAGTGGTTGCACCATATGAAATTTGCTGGTATGCTGGTATGTAGTGGCCACCAACCTCGAGATTTGGGTGGATAATCTCAAGGTTGACAAATCACAGAACGAATTAAAAAAAAATACGCTTTGTCCTTAACGTATTTGATTTGTTTTGAGCCGTGTAGTTCTTGCTACGCAAATTATTATACTCTGCCTATAGCCACCCAGAGATCAAAGGCCAACGGCGTCGATACCTTCTTCAATATAGATATTGGTTGAGAATTGCAGTTGTGACGCAAAAATGAAATCCACAACATACTTAATCGGCCTTAAAATAGTGGTGATCCCTGGTGTCTCCAGTCAGAAGTAGTTCAAATATACAGACTACGATTAAAATAGCCGCGACGGTACCACACTCTATCCATATCTTCAACTGTCTAAGCAAAGAAACAAGACTCATGAGTTGTGGCCTGAGAAACCATCGGTCTTATGAAGTGAGCAAACTGTTCACCAGAACTAAATAATGATATTACGTAGATATTTGTTTATTATCCTTCCATGAGTGTAGCCGCATACTTTCACATATTGTCAGGTCAGCGCGCAATTCTGTATTAAGTTCCGATCAAAGCGGCCATTGGGAAGGTTTTTGATTATATGACAACAAATATTTGCACATGCTAGGGCAGGATGAGACCACCAGCAATTTATATGCACGTTCTCACATCATAAGAATAACTATTCCTACCCTCTCTTATGAAGTAATTCGTCATGCGCACTATCAAGTCAAAAAGTTCTATCGTCATCCGTGTCAAGATGAGGATTTCAATACCATAGCAAAGCAACTGCACTATAAAGTCAAAATTTATTTTATCGCCATTCATGCCAATATAAGGAACTCAATACCAAAAGCTAAGCAAATTTAAAGTTCAAGCCTGCTTACAACATCAACGAACTTTAAGTTGTAAGGCATACAAATTCAGCATTTCTATTGATCACATACTCAGTTCCAGAATCCCTCGTGCACAGTCCATCCCTCATCCTGAATGAAAGGCCCAGCCACCTCGAATTTCCTGTCACTGCACGCAAACACATCTCTGCACGGTAGCCGAAGAATGTGGATGGGATCTTGTGCCCCGATACCGTCGTAGAGACCGCTTTCTGATAGCGCATACACCATCTAGCATATGAACAACAGCACATTCATATAAGTCATCCTGAACATGAATAGGTTGCCAGAAGAATGGTGGGGCGCACAAAAATTGTAACTAGTACTGCCAGTGTTTGTCTATAGTCGATTCATTGGAATCAATATTCAATTGCGTACAAATTTCAAAGAGGAATCGGCTACGAATGCAGAAACCAGAAGGGCGAACTGTTGCGAAAGCGACTTACAATCCATACTATATACGCTCGTAAGTACCCTCTAGGCATGCTGGACTACACAAGCACAGTGTTTCATTTGGGTTCATTTTCTAGCATAAAAAAATGGAACCACACACTTACCTGCGCGGCAAACACAACTGGTGCACGTTGTTCACTTAAATTTTCTACCTATCACGATTCGACTACAAGAACTCATGTACACAATAACACATAGTTATTAACACCCAATAATAATACAAGATATAACGCGGTATGAGAAAGCTGTGCTTGATACCTCGACGATTACGCGTTAGCACACCATATCAGACAGAAGCGGGAGCGGCGCGCTTGTCGATATGATAGCGTGGAATTGCAAGTTCTTAATGAGCGCACTATGGACGTGCTCATTCGATCGCGACATAATCCAACTCGAATCTCAAGCATCAGTTGATACGCAATAGTTGCTACTGCTTATTGTTTCAAGTTCTGGGAGAAAACGTTCGATCAGTATACACATGTGTTACATTTCATTACTTACCCTGCCCATACGACCCCAGTGAATAGCACCCGCGCACATCGCACACGGCTCTGTCGACGTGTATAGTGTAGACTTCTCTAGTTCCTCAGGTGTGTATTGATTTGTCGCTTTACGCATCACATTGGTTTCGGCATGTCCTGTACAATCCTTTCCCGTAACCACAGTATTCTCACCCTCACAAAGTATGTTATCATTCTCATCTACAATGATAGCACCAAAGGGATGGTTGCCATTCTTGCGAGACCGCGCTGCAACCTCGAGCGCTATGCGCAAGAACTTAAGGTCCTTTTCATTACTACTAGATGCTTCACCTGACATTTGGAACACTTGTGCAAAAACTAGTATGAGGTGATATGTATATGATATTTTTTTTAGGCCTTTTTTAACCGGTGTATTTTTACATGGCCTTCATAATCTTTTAAATTAGGACATCTATACATGTATGTATATTATAAATATGTGGTATGATGTTGAAGACCATACTTACTATAAATTGATCAACCTCTTTTTATTTGTTAAACTATATTTTCACTGAATCACCAGTGTCCACCTCCCGTGACTACAACTCGCGGCCAATCATGAACAGGGCGTATTCGATAAGTACAAAGCTGCAGCATTGCAGAAGAAGCGGCAAGGTATGTAGTTGTTTTCTTTACTTTGCCAGACATTCACAGACTTAACCCTTGTCTACCCTCAAATACATGTTTGTCTATGTGGGTGCGTATACACATAATATCGCGTGTATGTTTGTGAAAGAACAATGTGAGGGGAAGGAAAGGGGTTGAGTTCTATTGCGTTAAGTATTTAAACCTTTGTATACATGTCAGTGTGATCGTGTGACTTACATTGCACACGTGTACACACACACACACGTGTACACACACATACGTATACAAAACCGCACACCCGTGTGTGTACACACACATACACATACACGCACAAAAACACACGCGTGTACTCACCCGCACACACACTCACACCAT